CACATATGTATTTAAATTCCACAAATGCTACGATACATTGCCTGTTCTCTTTCGTCTTGTGTGGTATAAGCTAGTCGTGGACGAAGGCATGTGGTTTTCTCCGCGAAGCGAGCACGAATGCCCCTATAACCCCGGGCATACTGCAGGCATTTCAGTGGCGACGTGGTATGGCAATACTCAAATTGTCCAAAATTTATTTCGAAAGTACAGAATACAGGGCATTTTTTTGGTGAGTTGTAGGCGCTAAACTTTTTTGGTAAGCTGGCGTTACATTTGAAGACATCTCGTAACTGGCAAATCGCGTACGGCGATCTAAACCGTCTAATCCTGCACTACAACTGCGATGTCCTTTACTCGATATACACCAATTCGTAAAACTCCAAGGTAACGAATAGGCAGTTTTGCAATAATTTATGCGAGCAAGAGTGCTCACTAGTGTGGGCTTTGCGTACCGCAAGCATGAGCAATGCAAAGAAAGGAGAACAGCCATTTCAATTCAGTATGAACTCAGAACATGAGCTTGAATTTGATATCTTCTTTGCTGATTTGGTGCCAGTAGCAGTGCGAACAATCTCATTGATCGAAAAAGCATCAATTAAAATCCACATATGATTTTTCTACTGTCGCAAGCACTCGGAAGAATGCGACTCTCCATACAATTCAAAGGTATACCGGTTGCAAAAGATGCATTACCGAGTTTTACAAAAAAAACGCGGACGAAGTGAGCATGATACTCAGCAGTTGGCTCAGCAACAAAGTCGGATAATCTGAATACGGAGTACATTCGAATACGAATTCGAATAAACATTCGAATAAAACATTCGAATAAAATCTATTCGAAACCCCGTTTTTTGATTATTCGAGTTTTCAAATAATATTCGAAACCTCGTTTTTTGATTATTCGAGTTTTCGAATAATATTCGAAACCTCGTTTTTTGATTATTCGAGTTTCGACTTTTATTCGAAACCCCGTTCTCTCAATTATTCGAGTTTCGAATATTATTCGAAAATGGAAGAACTCCGAATATCGAATTTCGAGTACGAATGTATTCGAATGTTTTATTCGAATGATCGAATTTCTATTCGATTCGGACCCAAGTATAATGGATAGTGAATAGTTAGGACAGAAGCATACCTGCAAAATTTGAGACTTAGCTTCATTTTGGGCAGAGTTATAAATTTGCGAAGTTTCGTGCAAAATATTGCGCAGTCACTTCCCTCGAAGACAACAGAAAGGATGAGCCAATGATTTGATGGTGATCTAATCAAAAAAAAATTTAGTCTGGACTACTGTAACGGCTAGAGAACCGACTGGCCGGATGTAAGAAGGTTCCTCAATCTGAGAGCATTTTGCGGATTCAAAAGCCCAAATTTCGATGAGAAAATTTGCGCGCTGATTGCCAAGAAGTACTGAAAAGCCAACAAATGTTTTCCTTCCACAAGCGTCGGTGACAGCATCACGTTTCGAAGCAGAACAACGCATTGGACATGCACGCGGGTCACTTACCGCCGTTCTCCACCAGTATCGCAAGCAGCTTCTGTAAAGGTGACCACACTGTGTGTTGAATTCTACACGAAATTTCTGGAGAATACTGGCACAGCGTTCCTGAGCAGATACAAACAGTACGAGTCATTGAAAAAGTTGAAGCAGTTTGTAATGGACCATGTGACAACACTGAACCGAAGACATGCATTTTGTCAGAAGCATTTCTAATAGTGAACAGGATGAAGCGGTAAAAATTTCCGGTGGCCCGACAAATAATGAAAATTCTGTTTTGAGTTTTATTTTTCTTGGAAAACTATCTTGCTCGAATCTGTCATATAGTCATGAGACAGTTCAAAAATAGACAGTCTTTACATGTAGAAAAGCAAGTGACTAGACATATTGATTAAGTGTAAGCTTATTCAGTATTATATGTATATCACAAAGGCATTGTTATTAATACGCAATTCAGTTTTGTTATTAGAAAAGAGTTGAACCACTGCCTGTCTTAGCGATCTGTGAGCGGTAGCCTGCCCATATATAAGTGTGGATCGTTGGACAAGACTCAATGCAGTCTGTCTCTTTGTTGCGGTTGAGTACTGATTCTACGCTCTCATGAACACCACAGCGTATAAAGTCCATTTTCTCATTAACATGCTCAGTAATCCGAGTGCAGGAAGTGGTCAAGACTCGGCAGTGCGGAAAGGCGCTGGTCCCACAGATAATTCTGCAATCTGCTTCCAAGCCTATGACGGAGACGATTTTGTCGAAACCTAAAACTATAAAGAATTCCACCGTATAAACTGAAAGTGGCATAATATCATATAACACCTACCAAATCATTTCTAAATGCTCAGATTCAGAGAAGAAAGAGCATTCAAATTCTTGTGGAAGTGATTGGAGCTGAATTTGTCTTTTCTCGTTTGAGCAATAGTTGCTGAAGCACAATCATTGCAAAAGAAATCAAGCAAATGAGACTTTGGCTGGTTCATGATTACATAGGTTTCGGTTGTTTGAAGCACAGGATTCAAGCTATGGACAAATAGAGCAGAGTGCTTTGTATTGAGTACAAAAAGAGGTAGCCAAATTGCTTTTGAAATATTTTGGCCATGTTTGAAATTGACCACTTCATTTGGTTGGCCCAGTATCGCGAACCCCAGAATTCACTAAAACTTGCCCTTAAGTAATTATTTGACATGATAATTACAAATATGTTACTAACTAGGCTTGGTAGAACCTTCATGTCATAGGTAGGAAGCGATAATGCTGGGGAAGGGTGTATCCGGCGGTCGTGTGCCACATCTCTTGCTCGACCTACTCGTGTTTCAAAATGGTCAGCTGAATTAGGAAAAGCGTTGGAATATTTAGAATCACCGTTGCAAGCTGATTCAGAATATACAGGGGTCCCAGAAAATGTGCCACTGTTTGATCGTTAGTAACTTCCTTGCTTTGATGTCTTTCGCCGACCTTTAGGTACCATTCTTTAGGGCGAGGTTCAACTCAGATTTACAGATTGGAGCGAATCATTGGTCGCTCTTCGTTACTGTGGGATTATGGTAAGAACATCCAGCATGTGGAGCCATTGTAAAAAATGCCATCTAACAAAATTTTCTCAAAAAATTTGAAAAATCATGTACTAGGGTTTTCGCGCCGGCTGTTTCCACTACACGACCTTTTACGAGTGTTTTCAGCGTTTTCGACGGTGTAATCACATTTCTGGCAAATGTTGGGGATTCAGCTAATTACGGTTCAGCTGAGATAATTTAGGAAAGAAAAATCACAGTAAAGTGGAAGTTTCATATTCGAAATCAGCGGCTTTCATTACTATAGTAAATTAGTTGTCAACTTGTTTGATTTTGTTTCGAGGCAGAATATGGCCTTCAATGGCCTAAAATCTTTGTCGAAGTTCCCCTGTAGTACAGTAACGGAGAGCGGCCGATGTTTCGCTCCATGTTGTAAATCTAAGTTGACCCTCATCTACAAAATGCTACCTAATGGTCGGCTGAAGACATCAGTGCAAGGAAGTTATTAACGATCAAACAGTGTGCACATTTTTTGGGACGCCCTGCATATTATGTTTCTTACGAAGAGGCCGAGCTATGTTAGGTGCCTGCTCTTATTAGATATGTCCCCGCGCTCATCAGTTTGGGTAGTTTGAAGGTGATGGGCCCTAAATTAAGTTCTCAGTAGCTAGAAATGTCGAAAATTTGTTTTCCAAGATCAATTTCCGCCATTTCCATTCACTTTGAAGCTTAGTTTGGAATACATCGTCGTCAGACTACCCCCTTTGATGGGCGGGAAGACACATATCTATCTTGTGTTGCGATTCAGAATCCAAATTTTGCTGTAGGATTGAGCAATTTTAGTTGGGACCTCGCGTTGTGCCACCTCCCTATTTTTGGGTGGAGGGTGCCTACAATGTAGCGTCTTGCGGGTCGACATTTGCCGATAATATCTGCGCTTGAACAAATGCAGGCGTAAAAATCGAATGTGAGCTCCTCCCATGTTGCAGCAGAAGCTGCCGGCTTTAGAGGCACAGCGAATTGTTTCCGCGTGAATGTTGGTCGTTGTTGGCACCGGAGGGACACTACATCAAGCATCAGATCTGCAAGTCTATGGGTTCATGTAGCTGCATCACATTCACGAATGCAATGTCTGCCATTCACTCATTCTCTTTTCCAAACTTTTCAAAAAACATTCGAAAGTTTCTCATATGGCCTCACCAGATTGCCAAGAACGTTTACTCAACAAAAGCATCTGCAAGCTTTTCATCGAAATAAAATAATCACTCTGCACAAAGCTGCCTCCCCATTCGGAAAATTACTCTTGATTTTTTGTGTAGCCAAGAGTTCGTTTTGTAGCCTTTCGCAAAGCTACTTATAAGAAAATTTTAAATCTTAAACAAATTTTAAACTTTCATGTTTTCGTTATTCTCAAACCTCTTCATGACCTTCATTCCAGATCCAAATTCCAAACTCCGTAAAAACCTCGGGAAACCCTTGTTTTGGGAATATTTTGATGAGCGCGGACAAGTATTTCGATGGTAATATATTGCGGTGCAACGTGAAAAACACGTATCACATACAGGTACACCTTGCAGGTGCAACAGGAAAGTAGAGCGCGGATTCTGTGAGCTCGTCCACGCAGAGTGTGTAAGGAGCACAAAGGGTAGAGGAACGAGCACCTCAATTAGGCACCGCCTTCGTGGGCTGCTGCTCCTTTCGTCCTACTGTTGTGCATCGTGTCACGACCAGTAGTCTGCGGAGGCCGTGCCTAATTGAGGTGAGCTTTCCTCCATCCTCTTGAGGTCTTCGTTCCTCTCTTCCAGAAAGAGTTAAAGGAGTGGCCGTATTTGGAGCTGTAGAATCACTTTTTCCGAGCAAACCTGACGATTTGCTTCAGTTGAGGGGGACCTATTGAATGTTAAAACTGGGATAAACCTATTTTGCTCGAATGCTGCGTTTAATGGAGTAAAAGTCAACCAGTGCAAACTTTTTGCAGGATGAAAACGTGACTGATGCTAGCATGTAAGCTGACCAGCGTCCTCACTATGTTTTACCAACTTCAGGTAACTAACTGCTTCCACCTTTCGTGTTCAATTTTTCAAAAAGGTGGGGTTCTCCTAACTCATGTTCTTTCTACACTAATAATGGCAAACCCAAACAGGGCCTGCATGGGTAGAAACGTTCCCAAAGTTTGTGCATGGTTCGACGTATCTTAAAAAAAGGAAAGCAGACACCGACATGCATTTTAAACAGCTCTTCGTTTTTCCAGCAATCATATTCATGGGTCGATAAATACTCTCGAATGATTACCAAGATTTCAAAACATCGTTTTTACCATGTTTTGCATTTTCTTCTTTATTGGTTGCATTAGTTCAGGCTTAGAGGTGGTTTGATAACAGGTGAAGAGAGCAATGTTTTCGTAATACTCTCTTGGGCTCATTAAACTTTCTTTGGAAAATTTTCCAGATAAATTTCCCAAAAGTATTGATTTTTTAAAGTGTAAGCATCAAACGCGAAAGATCTTCAATTTGAAAGTTTGAAACTCAGCTGTCATTAAGGGCTACCTTGAACACAATGAAAGATAGCTTCAAATTCCTGAAATTTTGACATCTCTGCTATAGCACTCGTGAAATTGGAAATTGTCGTAACATCTGTTAAGCTTCAAATTACGAGAAAAACAGCTGTCAACTAGTGGAGAATAAGCTGCATCGAATGATACCTGACTTGATTATCGCTAGATATTTTCCAGAAATTTTCTGTTTTTCAAGATCTTTCTCAAAAAGACCATTCTGTGCACTTTGTGATTTAAGCCTCGACCCGGCATTGGTAACAATTTATTAGCTGACGTTTCGGCAAGTTGCGTTCTTCGTAGCATGAGCTGTGCAGAACGACTTGCAAACTATTCGACCAAACGTCTTTGCAGCTACTCAATAAAACTTCAAGGCTTTGGTGGCTAATAGTTAACTGCCTGATCAAACACTTTTTGAGACGACGATGAGATATGCCAGAGCGAGCGCTGTTTGAGTGAACGCCTATGGCATCGAGACACATTACTAATTCCACTGTCAGCATTCTTTTACTAGGAGAACCACTCTCTTGATTCAGGTGTTATTATTCTCGCAAGGAGGTGAAGCAGTGCTCTTCACCAGTGGAGCTTGTTAGGGTACGCATTCGATTGTTATCAGTTTCAGAACCGGAAGATACAAAAATCATGCCGCCTTATCAGGTAAGTTCTCGAGGAATCTCCACTTTCAGCAAGCAACGAGTTTGAGCAACTCTTCTTTTTTCAAAGCACGTCTTAGCGGCATTTCACTTTAGCTTTCCCAAGTTTTGATTCATAGATTGTATCGAGTGTTTCAAATAAGAATTGGTCAAGATCGTGCTAAAAAATGACTTGAACATAGTGATTAGGATTATCGAGTCAGTTATCTTCAGACTCTAGTACATTATAGGATGCTGCTCCTAGCACTGCTCCCACTTGTGGCTGCTATGCCATTTGACCTGCCATCTGAGCTCGCTTCCTCTGTCACTTACGATGAAGGCTTTGCACGCAACAAAATGTTGCCGTTGGCTGCTGCTGCCTATTCCTCCTCTCCGCAGCAGTGTCTCACAAAGCTCTATAAAAACGCTCAGGTATTGCTTTTCGATTTTTTCGATTTTTCCTGAATGATAAAGAACCATATTTCAATATTTAAGCTCAAGCGGCTCACATCTGTCATTTGCGACATCACTTTGGTTGACCGATGCACAGCATTCACAGCTGTTAACAACGATGATAAAGCTATCATTCTGTCATACAGGTAAGAAAATAATGCAAAATCATATTTGAAATTCTGAAAACTGACTGAAAATTCTGTCTGCGCTTTTGTGCACATAGTAGAAACTAAAGATGCTGATGGTGTGGTGGAGAATTGGGAGTGATTGTATGCTACACAGCAAACTTTTACGATTTCTATGTGTGATGCTAAATCCAGATACAGTGCAGAAATAATATAGCGTATAAGATCGAAACAATTATTTCTCCCTTTGTGTGTAACTCTCGAAATTCTTGCATCTGCAAAGCGATTTGAAGAATATAGATTCTTTTGGAAAAGCTTTCTCGGTAGTGATTTGAGCCAACAGACAAATTTTTGTGGCGGCAGAAGAATGATAATTTGCAGGGGAACTGACAGAAACACCGAATTGATCATGGAAGGTGATGAGACAATCTTCCAAAACCACGTAAGCACAAACCAAATCAAAATTCAATCTGTACGATAGCAGCAGATGTTCAGACTACATGGAGTGCTGGTGGTACCGTGTCGAAGTATTTTGCTGATGCTTTCAAGCGGCTTTGGATGGAGGGAATCAAGGATGATCTTGCTACACTTCAATCTCAAAACCCTACTTATGAACTTTGGGTGAGCATTTTACAGTTATAAAACACTCCTCACGTTTTGTACAGGTTACCGGTCACTCTCTTGGAGGAGCGCTAGCATCTCTCGCTGCATCTTACATCTCTGATAGTAAAATCTTTTCAGCAAATAAGGTCTGTTCGTTTTACTAAGCTTTTTAGAATTAGTCACTACTGGAATTTTGCTAAATTTTGTCTAAATATTTTAGATCAAACTTGTCACATTCGGACAACCAAGAACTGGCGACAGGAACTATGCTGCGAGCGTAGAGAAGAAAGTAAGTTTTTACCAACTGAGCCTAAAATTATTAAGCATTGTTTTTAGTGGGAAAGTTAGTTAACCGCAGTCATAATTATTTAGGTCCCATACACCTTCCGTATTACACATGCTCATGATCTTGTCCCTCACCTTCCGCTCATAGACCAGCAGGGATTTTATCACCATAAGACTGAGGTAAATCAGAATTGGGCTAGCTCAACGAATGAAGACAGTACTGACAAATAATACATGAGTCGCAATTATGCAAATTGATGACAATGATCGTTTCAGGCTTACTACGACAAAGGCATGGGCACTGGTGCACACTACAATGTGTGCTACGACATGGGCGAGAGCACGTTCTGCTCCGATGGAAATTTCATCGACAAATCTGTGCAAGATCATTTACATTATTTCGAAAAGGACGTCAGCGATTATGGAATTAAAGGTTGCAAATAAGTTAGGTATATATTGACTGGGTAGTCAATAAATAATCAATCCATATTATGTGCCTATAGAAAACTTCTAATTCTCCTTAAATGCTGAAAGTACAACCAATACATATGCTAAAATCAGGTGACAGGTAATTATTCGAACAATGATTATGTCACATTCAGGCATGTGAGATGTTTTTGTTTCTACCTATCAAGGAATTAGTCGGCAACACCGAATAATTACCTCATGGCCGATTGAGTGTTGATTTGTAGAAAGAATTGCATAACATTTTGCTTGTATATCCCGAAATCTTCGCCGCTGAGCGGTGAACAAATCTGATTTCTCTACTGATATTATACTTGGAAGAAATCTGTTGCATTTCTTTCAAATTCTTCTTGTCTTTCTAAGTTACTTTCTTTTACACGCACCGGCTTCTGCATGCAAAGCTTCTTATTTGACTGAGTACATCATTACAAATTAGTTTGTATTATGCATAATATCAACAAGAAAGGGATCTTTGTGCATTACTTATCATCACTTGTATGCATATCTAATTCTTGCATACGTTGTAAACCTTTCGCAAGACTCGGTATATTGGAGGCACAATGAATATCGCCGCAACGACGAAATGGTATCCAGAGTAGACCACAAACTGAAAAAAAAGTCTACTTCTCTAAGTCTGCTTGATGGGCAATTTTACCTGTGGCCGTATGCTGAGCGCAAGGCCAAAGGAGGATGTTACGACCAACGTTAGAATTGACTGAAGAACGAGGGCTGCAAAAGTGTTCAACCCGAATACAAGTCCATATGAAGCCGTCTCGAGACTATCGGCTAGATTGAACCTGACACAAGTCGTTTACATAATAGGCTAGGCACTCTATACACACTCACTGTGTCACTGTTATCATTGCTTGATACAGTACTCTATACACTACGTATCCTATATACATGACGAGGAGACTGTCCGTCTGTGAAAGTAGAAACAAGATGAAGCCGTCCAGCAATGAGCAGAGAGCGAGGCACAGCTCTCCCCATCTCGACCAATCAACACGAAGATACTGGACGAGGAAGACGACGGGTAAACCTGAGATAGTTACAGGGTGGAGCGAGACAACAACTGTAAAAAAAATGCGACCAGACAAAACTATGTTAACCGATAAGCCAATTCGGTACTTTTCCGTTATCCGGACCCATTTTTTTCAAAAAAAGATGTTGCTTCTCCTTGTACCATATTTTGTTCCAGCTTCACAGGGACGAGGTTCAACCTTCTGCCACGTGTCAAAAAAATTTGACATGTCATCTGTGTGTTTAACACATTTACGACCATGCATATTTTTGGTTGTCTGCCTTCTAGGACCAAGGCCTTTTACGAACCAGCCCGCATTTTTCAACTATATTTACGCATGCTGCCATCTACAGTACACCTACAGTAGGTCTGAAGGGCTGATAATAACGGTAGAGGTCATCCCTAGACTCAGTGCAGAAGAAAACTCGTGGAATTTGTTTATCAAATTATAGTAGTTATTCGAACAAAATTCAAGCCTTGACACACATGGTGTGTCAAGCGGTCCCACGCGGTAGTCATTGCCTGACACACCATGTGTGTCAAGCGGTCGTCAATGTGTTAACAGGTTCTACAAAGAGTTTGTGTTACCCTACCTAGCGATGCAAGTTCAATCTGTTTTTTAGTTGATTTTGACTTCATTTTGATCAAACTTTGAAAGTGAACATTTTCATTAACAATGACATACTATCATCAAAGAACAGGTCAGACTTGCTCAGGATTGAGAAGTGCGCTAAGATTCCGTCACTGAAGAGGCAAAGTAAGCAGCCGCAAGGTACTTCATGCTATCATTCATAGTCTTTTCGGCTATTCGCATGGCGGAAAGGGTTTGAAGAGAAGTGCACTTTTGATTCACTGCTGAAAGCAAGCAATATGTTCTAGCATAAGTTCCTGACTGTTTTGCGCTTATGCTGTTGAGGAATGATGTGCTAAATGATATGATATTATATCGTATTTGTTTATGTAAATAAGCCATATATAGTCGTGACAGTCGTACACTTCTCATTCTTCTGGCTTGCTCTCTCTCGGATAAAGGCTTCTCTGCATCCGCTCTGATACATAACAGTGGCGATCAGGGACGAAGCTCACTATGCCGAGAACAGCCGAACGCTCAACACGGACGGCCGAACGCTCCAGATCAAAGATGGCAAAACACTCGCTGGATGGCAGCCTCATCACTGCTCTAATCGAGCAGATGAGGATTCAACAAGAACAGACAAGGATTCAACAAGAGGAGATGGAGGCTCGATACGAAGCACAAACGAGGATGCTGCAAGAACAAATGAAGATCCAGCAAGAAGCGATGTGTGCGCAGCATGAGGAAACTATGTTGCTGTTCAAGACCGTCCAGAACAAGCAGGATCCGGATAGAAGAAAAGAAACCTGCGACCAGCTTGCCAGAGACGTGGCGAACTTCGTGCCCTACGAAGAATCAGGCACGACATTTTCTTACTGGTTTAGCAGGTACGGCCCCATATCAGGCAGGCCGAAATGCCCGATGACTGAAAGAGAGACCTCATTTTGACGAAGATGAGCGAAAAAGCATACCGCAGATATGCAGACGATCTCCTCCCATCGAAACCACATGAAGTGGATTTCGAAACGACAGTCGCTAAGTTGGCGACCCTGTTCGCGTCCAAGAAGACACTCGTACGAAGAAGGTACGAATGCCTTAAAATAGATTGTCCGCCGCTCACGGCAGGACACACTCCTTTTCGCGAATACGCGAATCGGATCAAACGCATGGATGAGGAGGCACAGATGAAAGAGTTGGACTACACTGGTCTGAAGACGTTGCAGTAGGTCGTAGGACTCCAAGGCCCGTAGTAAACCCCTCGTGGTTGTCACAACATAGAGGGATTATGTCGTGATAGCTCGGAGTATCTCGCAAGACTATAGCGAGCTATCCGCAGGGCGCCGCAAAACGAGCGCCTCCGCGCGTCATTGAACCGCTGATGACCGCGATAACAGCGGTCACACGCGCTGCGCTATGAGTACAGATATGCCGTGGGGTATTTGCTTAGCAAGGCAAGAATGTAGTATACTATGCTTGCCAGAGCAGGTAAATCAATCAAAGGAAATCCAATAACTAACTATCCTCGCGTGTGCGCGCCTCTTTCTCCATATTTTGACTCATTATCTCATGTTCATCAATATTGATATGAAAACGCAGTTGATCTATGTCTGTTGCAGAATTATGCTTATCTTGGTACACCATGCTGTAAGAAGCGCCATTATCCGCTATGGCAGGACCATATTTGACTGTTGCCCTCAATAAAAATTGAGCGTGTCAGCCCGTGCCAGATTCGTGCCAGCTCCGTGCCAAGACACAGATGGTCTAGCAGCGCGCACATTCGCTGCGCTGTATGCTACTACGCCGTGCTTTGCTAGGGAGAGGATACATGTAGCAAATAGAGCAGTTGCAACGAATCAGTATGGGAAAACGATATGCATGCCTTATCCGTAAGTATTGTTGAAGGGTTAGCTACTACTTTTGCAATTATTGTGAAACAGCTCAACACTCAACATAGCTTGTAGTTAGCGCAGTGCCAGTGTGAGAGGCCGGTGTGCTAGACGTTGGGGGTACAAGTTCCAGGTGACACTATCTTTTTTTGCTGGCAAACTGAATTTTGCAAAGGAACGTGAATTAGAATTTTCTTTTTGAAAGAAAATGGAATTTAAAGTAGAATACATATTGAAAGTGTACAAGAAAAATCAAAATATTATCATCAGCATTCAGTCCGTTCAAAAATGGGCTATTCCATTGGCCATAACGCCAGACGGTCCTTTCTCATAAACACGAAAGGAAACGAGAGGTGCACGGCTAACGAACAGCGACCAGCAAAGATATGTGGTCGAAACTGCCAAGAATGATGAAAAGATCAAGAATTTGCGAAAGTTTGGCACAAAGAAGGGACTTTTTGCTCAAACAAGGCGCATAGCAAAAATAAAGAAGAAAAACTGCATAAGTACGAAAAATATGGCTAAGTATGAGTCTAACATACTTTTTAGTTAAAATAAACTCACCTTTTTTCAAATACTAAAGCGGCAGGAGCAGAAGTACTTGGAGAATAGGGAGAGGTGCATTGCTCGAACAGTTAGGCGCTTATCAGCTGTTGATATTGATTGCGGTTGACGTGCGTTATAGAGAACTGTGTGCATGTGCGACCTATTGCGAGGTTGGCGTAGTCGAGCTCTAGTCTTGCGCCATGTCTCTGCGTCTCTATGACGGACAAAGTATTTCGCCGTCTTGTTCGTCACGGCATGTCGCAATATGTCGCTATATGTCGCGATATGTCGCGACATATCGCGACAAAGTGCGACTACCCTGACGCTACGCATCGATTGCATCCGCCGGCAATGATAAAGGATAGCCGCTTTGCCAGCCTCGCTCCATGATAGTCAGCACATGTCACAGCATACTCCGAGCTATACATCACGACGTCCGGGGGGTTTACTACAGGCCCAAGATCCTTCTCTGAGGGAAATTCGCTTGAAGATGCTCCAGCGGCTAGACTCGCACAAGAATGGACCGTTGACTATTGAAGAACTAGTCAATGAATGCGAGAATCTCACAGCGTTGAACAACAACAACGCAGACATGGGAAGACAGTACGCAGTACAAGTAGTACGAAAAGCGAGCTCACGAAACCCAAAAAGTGGAGAGCCAAGCCTAAAAAGATACCCATACCCGCCTTCCGAAGCTGAACAAGCAGATCATAATGTACAAAAGAAAAGGACTTACTGCAGCAAGAACCGCAAGAACAAGAACTCCATTAGCTCCATAGCACAGGCCGCTCGTACATACGTCACTATCAATATAATAAAAGAAAAAGAAAAAACAGAGTACATCTAATTTCCGTTTCAAAATAAAAGATCGTTTTCTACCCTTCCAGACACTGGTTCTGATATCACAATGATACCCGACGGCGATGGAAGATGCTCGGATCGCCTAAGTTGGAACCTGGTTCTTTGCTGGTGAGAACGGCAGATGGTTCACCGATGAAAACTATTGGAAGATTTTATACAGAATTTGCCGTGACGGATCGAAGGTCAAACAAACCTATCCATGATGAAGGATACTGCTACGTTGCCAATACAAACCTACTCGGTCTAGAGTGGTGCATTCAACTACCTGCATACAAGAAGTTGAAAGATAAATACCACTGTCCTTCAGTAAAGAAAGAAGATTTCAAAGTGGCACAAATTGTCTTGGATTCAAAGAAATACTCAAGAAAGTTTGACTGCATATTGCAACGACGTTCAAAAGCCAAAGCGAAGTCATTCTTAGAAGAAGCTGTTCCGATTGCCAAGAAGAATCGGCCAACTTCAAATGCTTTGCCATCTGTAAGCCGGTCTCCAGATAAATCGTTCTTGAGACGACCATTCAGAATGAAGCCTACGCCATTAACTGAACAATAACGGAAGAAGTAAAACTTCTATACGATGCGGAGACGGAAGATAAGCTTCTTTGGAGAAGACTTGCTAATCAGATGAGCAGTGAAAATCTGACGTGCAGTGAAGACCAAAGAAGAAACAACCCCACACCTAAAAGGAAAGCAAGAAGCCGATACTTTGTTACAGATATGCCGAGTCAAAAGCCTGTATCATCTACGCTGTCACCAACACCGAAGAAGCTATCAACTTCTATGAAATATCCAGTTCGACACCGAAAGCAACCCGATCAACTACAAGTCGATCCTAAGAAGAAGACATATAGATAATTTTTGTCTTAGGAGGGAGGTGTTGAGAACTGATGTGCTAAATGATATGATATGATATCGTATTTGTTTATGTAAGTAAGCCAGCCATAGTCGTGACAGTCGTACACTTCTCATTCTTCCGGCTTGCTCTCTCTCGGATAAAGGCTTCTCTGCATCCGCTCTGGTACATAACACATGCAAAACAGTTAAACAGCTTCAAAATAAGCTTAGATTCTCCTTCATCTTACCGGAAATGATCTCGAAAAAAAACATGTCAAAATGAACCAAAACGTGTCAATTTTTTTTGTGACACGTGGCAAGGAGGCAGTCCTCGTAGAACCTGGAGAAAATTATTCTTATACTGAAGAATGTATAATATGAGAGCTTTTTGGAAAAATGGGTCCGGATAACGGAAAAGTAGAGCCAATTCACCTAACGCTAGTAGCTTTTAGGTTGATGAATTTATGCACTACCATTGAGTTTGAGCAAAGCGGAGTTAACCGTTGTGTTCGCTGAAGCGCGTACTATATAATTTAGATTACAAGTAAATTTGAATCATGATGAGCATGTGTATGAACATTTTGAAGAGATTGCAGCACAAAACGATGGAAAATATTTTGGAAATGCGAACAGAGATACTAATTATTTCGAAAAAATTTGAAGTTGAATCGATGTATGGAGCTAGTGAAGTACATAAAAGAGAAAAGAAGCACACATTTCCGATCAAAGAAGGCTGTTGATGTTTTCTACATTATATATAGTGAAATATTCATATAGTGGCATAGCGGAAAGCGCCATCAGCGGAAATCTTGACTGGTAATCACCAGGGCTCCAAATGTGGCACTTAAAAAGTGGGATTTTTGCGAAAACCATCTTTTTGGGGCTATCTTGTGAGAATCCGGACGAATGCTTCTGAAGTTATCCTTGTCGAAAGCAAGCAGTTAAACGCTATGTGTGCGCTCGACTGTGTTTGCCAGTGTAAACACGTTCAGGGCAGAGGAAATTTCGTTCAAAAGGGGAGAGGGTTGGCCGTGCGAGGATGTGGGCGGGGTCCTCGAGGCGAGGACGTTTGCCGGGACGCAGCCTTTGGGAAAAAGCAAAAGGGATATCGTGAATATACGTTTGTGTAATTACTTACACTCTCTCGACAAGTTGCTAAACGACATGCAAAAAAAGGTCTTTCTTGCGCGTCATATTCAAAGAATTTTTTCATTGATTGTGTGAACTTATGTGAACAAAGAGCGTGCTCAAATTTTCCTTGATTTAGGTGTAACATTTTGGTTTCAAAATTTCTCCTCTCCTTTTTGCTACCAATCGCCAATCAAAATAGCAACGACGCCGCTTCCCTTAAGGAAGAAAACGCGATTCAAGAACAATCCACGCAGCTGGCGCTCAAAGAGGGAATCGTACAATCGAGGGGTAAAGACGAGTTTGAGTGTCCATTTGCCACCCTTGTGCCGAGCCCTGGTATATTCACAGAACCCCACAGTATTCTTAACAATCTAATGCGCGAAAAATATAAAAAAGGTTTTTTTATCTTACCTATCAACGGGCACAAAGCTTCGGTTACACCATTGTAAATTTCGCTATTTTGCACATCAATAATCGAGCCCCACAGCGTTTGTGTGTAGTTGGTTATCTGGAAGCTGTTGGTGTTACACTAGTAGCGACTTATTATAAAAAAATTGTCTTAAGATAACACATGACCACAACCTGGAACAGTGCACAGCTGGTCAGTGCCCACCATAAAGACCATCTGAGCATAAAGACATCTCCATATATCTTCTTCGTATCCCCTATGATTGTTTTGAAGTGTAGTTTTGCAAACTCCTTATAAGTCGCTCGATCATTTATTTGCCTTTTTATTCCTGTGCAGAAACTCCTCTAGTACATCTTTATACTGTTCAACAGTATTAGGAAATGGTCGAATGCTTACCAGCAGATAGTAGTTTCTTTTCGTATGCCCTTTTCCAAGAGACCGAAGGCAAAACTATAGCGAAAAAGAACGAGATGCAGAGCATTACCAATGAAATGATGTTCAACGTTTGGTAAGTCCCCCACTTCATCAGTATGATCAGCTGAGCGACTGCATAGCCCAGAAAACGACCGAGCAGTAAGGCACCGCGTGTATAAGAGGTTACTCTAAATTAACTTAGAAATTTTTTCAGTCTAGTTCTACCAAGTTTTTCATTAATTTACTCTTTTTGTAATATTGTTGTACTTCGTTTTCAGACTTTTTTAGAAAGTCTCGAGTCATGAGGGAACTATATTGCAGGCTATTGATTTGATATAAATTGTGCGAAGAAATAAAAGAAGAAATTCTCGATGCGTTTTTTCCGCTCCAATATGTAATATGCCTTCTGCCATTATTCTTTGGATAACAAATTCGCTTACTCAAGAACATAAAAACCACTGCTCAAATTTTACCAATAAAATTGTAGAGTTTGATTAAAGAAAGTACACTATTCCCTATTCTGAGGTGAAGGACAGCGCAAAGATTTGCCACTGTATTTTCAGTTTACCAAGAAAAAACTCAGCCTTTATGTGCAATTTTTAGGTGACCGAATTCAATTTCATTTTTTCTAACGCTAAAAACCATTGCTATGAAATGAAATACTATTTTTAGCTTCCATTCCAAAACTTTTTGCATTATTTGCTCTTCTTTTTTATCAAGAAAAAATGCAGAAAAAAGTACTCAATGGCTGTGTGTTGACGACTGTGGTATCTTTTCTTATTTGAGTAGTGAACAACAAGTAATATGTACAAACATACCTTTTGAACTTTTCTTTCGATACATTTACATAGATGTAAGCAAAGTATGCTATCTCAGTTGCTGTAGCCCAACCATAGAAGAACTCGAGAATCTGAATCTTGCAAGAATGCGTCGCAGATGTGAATTGAAATTTTGCAGTTTTTGTTAGAGAAGCAGTACAAGCAGTGAAATGTTCATTGGTCACTAGTAGATTAGTGAATATAAATTGAATGATTGAATAGAAGGAATCACAACACTTTTCGACTTTTAAGTTGCTTGTGGAGTAGCGTACATGCTTACCAAAATTGCAAAACATGATTCCCTTCATTTTCGAGGATCATTAGAAAGATTGTAAAAAATTTTTACCTGCGAGCTAAGTACAATTTGAATGGTATAGTAAAGAAAATTGGACACACGTGCTTCGAGAATTTGATAATGGTAGTAGAGATTCGATACGAATTTCAAATAAAACTAAGCTTATAGCTAGAAAAGCGAGCTACCTAAATCACTACGTAATATATAACGAATTCGTTGATTACGCAATAGTCCTCTGATAGTTGGATTATGGCAAACGAGGAGGCCGCAGACGTAAAAATTATGATGAAATACACTGATCTTTGGATTTGGATTGCTGCCAAATGGCATGCGTTTTGGAACGCTGCCAAATTTCATAACGAGTGACCAAGCATTTTCGTAAAAGGGTCACACATATTTCGAAAGGCAATCATGAGTATCGCAATGATTTTGAGAAGGGTCGCCAGTGTCCGGATGTATTATTTGTAGCTGCTTTTTCGAGCTTGTTATCCCAGAATGTGTCTTTCAAATATGTTGTACTCTTATTAGTTGCTTTTGAAATGACGCCAATTTGCGTAACAGCGTGAATTGAGCTAAATTCATCTAAGTTCCCAACTCTTGGTAAATGCTCTAACTAAGAACAGTCACTTTAGGATTATCTTGCTTCCACGTGTAGACAAGAGAGTGCGTGAGTAACTTAGTCTCGCTGATACTTTTGGAAGCGTTTATCTAATAACGGCCTTGCTTTTGCTTGTGTATTGGGTTCCGCTGGCGCTTTCAACTAGGTATCGGTGTGTAAGCGGCACATAGGGCAATCATCGGGCAGGGAAACAGATTTTTGTACGTTTGGGGCAGTCCTTATAATTTTTAAACGGTCTTCAAGCGGCACATAGGGCATAAGTTTTTGGATAGTTACTATCGGTCTGTAAGCGGCACGTAGGGCAACTCGATCGGGCAGGGAAACAGATTTTTGTACGTTTGGGGCAGTTCTTATAATTTTTAAATGGTCTGTAAGCGGCACGTAGGGCAACTCGATCGGGCAGGGAAACAGATTTTTGTACGTTTGGGGCAGTTCTTATAATTTTTAAACGGTCTGTAAGCGGCACGTAGGGCAACTTGATCGGGCAGGGGAACAGATTTTTGTACGTTTGGAGCAGTCTTTAAAATTTTTAAACGGTCTGTAAGCGGCACGTAGGGCAACTTGATCGGGCAGGGGAACAATTTTTAAATGGTCTGTAAGCCACGTAGGGCAACTCGATCGGGCAGGGGAACAATTTTTAAATGGTCTGTAAGCGGCACGTAGGGCAATCATCGGGCAGGGAAACAGATTTTTGTACGTTTGGGGCAGTTCCTATAATTTTTAACGGTCTGTAAGCGGCACGTAGGGCAACTTGATCGGGCAGGGGAACAATTTTTAAATGGTCTGTAAGCGGCACGTAGGGCAACTTGATCGGGCTGGGGAACAATTTTTAAATGGTCTGTAAGCCACGTAGGGCAACTCGATCGGGCAGGGGAACAATTTTTAAATGGTCTGTAAGCGGCACGTAGGGCAATCATCGGGCAGGGAAACAGATTTTTGTACTTTTGGGGCAGTTCTTATAATTTTTAAACGGTCTGTAAGCGGCACGTAGGGCAACTTGATCGGGCAGGGGAACAATTTTTAAATGGTCTGTAAGCGGCACGTAGGGCAATTTGATCGGGCAGGGGAACAATTTTTAAATGGTCTGTAAGCCACGTAGGGCAACTCGATCGGGCAGGGGAACAATTTTCAAATGGTCTGTAAGCGGCACGTAGGGCAATCATCGGGCAGGGAAACAGATTTTTGTACTTTTGGGGCAGTTCTTATAATTTTTAAACGGTCTGTAAGCCACGTAGGGCAACTCGATCGGGCAGGGGAACAATTTTCAAATGGTCTGTAAGCGGCACGTAGGGCAATCATCGGGCAGGGAAACAGATTTTTGTACGTTTGGGGCAGTCCTTATAATTTTTAAACGGTCTTCAAGCGGCACATAGGGCATAAGTTTTTGGATAGTTACTATCGGTCTGTAAGCGGCACGTAGGGCAACTCGATCGGGCAGGGAAACAGATTTTTGTACGATTGGGGCAGTTCCTATAATTTTTAAACGGTCTGTAAGCGGCACGTAGGGCAACTTGATCGGGCAGGGGAACAATTATTAAATGGTCTGTAAGCGGCACATAGGGCAATCATCGGGCAGGGAAACAGATTTTTGTACGTTTGGGGCAGTCCTTATAATTTTTAAACGGTCTTCAAGCGGCACATAGGGCATAAGTTTTTGGATAGTTACTATCGGTCTGTAAGCGGCACGTAGGGCAACTCGATCGGGCAGGGGAACAATTTTTAAATGGTCTGTAAGCGGCACGTAGGGCAACTCGATCGGGCAGGGGAACAGATTTTTGTACGTTTGAGACAGTTCTTATAATTTTGGAATGGTCTTCAAGCGGCACGTAGGGCGACTTGATCGGGCCGGGGAACAGATTTTTGGTACGTTCATGCAATTCTTATGATTGACGGTCTTTAGGTGGCTCAGTAGTCGTGCTTTTCGGGGAGGGATCTCCTTTTGTAGTAAAGCTTCACATTCCTTTGGCGAAAATATTGAAGGATTTTCTGACAAAGTTCTTAGACGATTGATTTAATTGCTGTCGGAGTTGATTCCGAGAGAAAAGTGTTTTTTGTAGTACACATAATTGTTATGGGTGTACTTCTACTTCCAAACCTACAGGTGTTCTTCTACTTCCATAACGATCTTCTATGGAAATCGTTGAGAAGAACTGGAAGAGTAAATTCTCTTTGAGAGGGTAGAAAAGTGGGGGGGGGGGGTGTCTGAATGTCTCTGTGAGGAGGGGAAATTTGCAGAAAGAGTGTGGTAAACGAGAGAAAAATAATACCCCATGCATGGTTGCAGCAGGAATTTCGAGAAATGCGAAAGATTTGTGGAGATTATTGCTTCTTCGAACAATTTTTGTAGAATGCTTTTCGCAAAAATGTTCTCAGGAAAGGCATAGGAAAATTATTTAGAAAAATATATAATCACAAATAAGCCCCTATATTGTATCTGCCCCTACCCACTTGCTAGCGACCCGTAGGGTCGCTAGTTCTCATATAAATTCTAAATGAATTTTCTGCTACCTAAATTTTCATGAAAATTTTCAAATTTTCTAAGTGTTGGAAACAGATAATTTTTCACCCTACCCAATTCCCAATAGGTGTAATTCTATAGGGGCATTCTTCCAGCAAATGTTTCAAAAATGATTTCAGTGAATTGAACCAAATATTATTGATTAAGGTTTTTCGAAATCTTTTTTTCTTCCCACTGTTTCACCAGCTAAGATTGTAAGAAATTTGATCTCACCTGCTGTGAAAGTACAGAACCAGCGAACACAAGCAGGCACCATACCACAATGTAAGCCAGTGCTTCCACGACAATGAGACTTTTGTACAACAACAAATCAGTAAGTAAAAATACAGGAATGAGAGCGACCATGTAGCTGTAGGTCCATATTGGGTAAACCTGAAATGGGAAATTGCAAAAACTTTCAATAATTCTACCCTGAAAAACCACCGGTTACTCACATCAGCATTCAAAGTATGTTCAGAGATGTTCAAAGTCTCATGCTCATACTGATAGAGGAAAGGCTCTGTTGGGCGGAACTCTTTGAGAAAACCATAGGTGCACAGCAGTATTGTTGTGATTTTCCATTTTGATATGACTAGTTTCATAGACTCCTGCAATGTAATTATGTATTTAAGACTAGTTAACAGTTTGGCAAGCCAAGACGAGACAAGAGATTAGACCAGAGCCTCTCTTCGAAACAGAACTCCATTCTCAATTAGCAGAAGTTTCGCTACATTTTACAAAATGAATGATTCGGCAGGAGATAAATAGAGGGTTTATCTACTACGAATTTTGTTGTACGAAAATAGCAAGTGCAGATGCAGACTCACAGTGGATTAACACATTTGTCTTATCTTCGAACAACACTTTTGCGAGAGGAATGCAATAGATAAAACACACTGCACGGCGCAATTGCTCTTCCTTTATCGTGTGAAAGGTCTCCTTTAGTCATCAAACTCTCACTATTTGATGCGAGCTATGGTCGTTTTCCTCACATTTACTTTCGAACAGCAATTTTGATTTACTATCCTAGTTTCCTGTTGTGTCTTAGTGCTCCCAGCAGAGAGAATTTTTGTTTTTTCCCATATTTTGCTCGCAAAATCCGCTCATCCTCGATGGTTCTTAAACATTCCGGAAAGTTCTGAATTGCGATTGATAACTGCATTACAACAGTAAGAAACATTTCAAATGCTGGAGGACATATATAAACAAACTGCGAACGCAAGGCCAATGTAAGAGCAATGCGCATTATTAGTGTTGGTTTTATTTATGAAAATTGCCACAGTTGAAAAAGCACCTTTCGAAATCTCAAATTTAGATTGTAGCAGATATCTTCATTCTATACATCCGAAAGAATGGAAGTAGGGTACTGACGTGGTTTCTCAGTCTTTTAACATAGGGCAGAGAAGCGCAGGCAGAAGACACAGAAGTCTACAGCAACTCGAATGCAAGGGTGACTCATTCAAGCGTGAAATGCTAAGAAGAGGCGTGGCTGAACTCATTCTGGGAAGATGGTAAACACTTGCTAGGTATAGACCTTCCTATTCTTAGTAGGCTGGATTCATACTGATTCTCATATTCCAACACTGTTCCGCACAGTCCCCGCACAGTTCCCGCACTGTGATGGAACTTTTCCGGAACTGTGCTCCATCACTGCAGCCGCTCGCATGCAATTTTGAGTGGCGGGAGTTAGGGAATTGACCGTCTTTGAAGGTTTTTCTTTGAGGTTCCTCTCATTTTGGCCTTACTCCTCTACCTCGCTTCCCCTTTTGATCGGCAGAACTTCGAATTCGATGCGGGGCTGAAAATGAGCGTTCTTCCACTCTGCGACAAAATGTGTGTTCTTTTCTAGTCCATTTTCCCTTTTATTTTTGCTCAGACCTATTTCGTTTGTTCCAGGAAGCCGTTGCATAGTTTCCGCAGGCATCTGTCTTAACTTAGGGCATGCGAGCAATTCTAAAAATGCATAGATTGAGACTTTTCTCTTGTTTTCTGATAATCGCTTTTGGGCATTCTCAGCCTTTTTCTGTTTCTCCACATCGTTGCTCATCCGTAACATTATTTCTTCTACCTCGCTTCTCCGTGATAAGAAAAGCTGCGAATTTGAACGGGGTTGAAAATTGAACATGTTTGCTTCATGTATCCGGGAAGATGGGGCTTCGTGCGCTCGTCCATATTCTCTTCGGGAAGGCACTGCCTAATTTCGCATCTATATTGAAAGGGACATAGACAGGTCCCTAGAACACATGCAGTAGGTCTGAACAAATATAACGACGAGAGATTGTACGATTGCACGAATGCCCACCTTCCCAGATTCATGGAGCAGAACAGCGTGCAATCCTTAACTCCGCTTAAGTTTGCAGCTTTTTTCATCACAGAGGGATTCGGGATAGAAGAAAGAATGGATAAGCAACGATATGGAAAAAGGAAAAGTGGCTGAGCATGCCCAAAAACGAAACTTATCAGAAAAGATTAGCCCCAACCTATGCATTTTCAAAATTGCTACATGCCTTAAATCAAAAGAGATGCCTACGAAAACTAAGCGGATTCCTGATACAAATGGAATAGGTCTGAGCAAAAATAAAGCGAAGAGAAAATGGACGAGCACAAGAACACACATTTTGCCGCAGAGCGGAAAAGCGCTCATTCTTCATCCCGCTTCGAGTTCGAAGTTCTGCTGATCAAAAAGAGAAGCAGGGTTAAGGAATAAGGCCAAAATGAGAGGAGCCTGGAGGAAAAAACCGTTGAGAAAGGTCAGAATTTTCCAACTCCCGCCGTTCAATCGCATGCGGGGCGGCTGCAGCGCATACAGCACAGTTCCGAAACAGTTCTAGTACAATGCGTGAACTGTGCGGAAACAGTTCCGAAACATGGGAATCAGTATGAACCCAGCCTTGAATCGCGCTTTACTCAAAAATACTTCGCGAGTGTTTCGACCGGATTGGCTGCGTGGCTGCTCCAGAATGCTAGAAGTACAGCGTGGCCCACATGATTACGCCGAGAAATGCCCATAACGCTGCCCCAAAGGAAGGTCTGCTTATGAAGGGCCTGCTTTTTCTGTCATCTGTTTTCATGTTTTCCTTTCTGAGGCAAGACCTTCGTCTGTTCCAAGTTCTTGCAGGCGGCCCTTTATCCTGTACGACCATCTCATCTTAGGTCTACCTCTAGGTCTCTTGGCTGGTGTTCCACCGTCAACGTCAGCTTCGTGATGTGCCCGTCTACTGTGCACGTCGCCGTACCACCGTGATCTCTTTTCCTGCATTTTCTAGGCAACTGGAGCTACTTTTATTTGGCCCGTATAGTCCTTGCAAATGCATTCTTCCAGTTTGAAATCTAAGGTCCATCGTGGTATCCTTGTTTTCATAACACCGATTTTGGCTCTTCATTCCGCGGACATGGCCAGCATTGACTATCATGGAGTGCTGCTGGACAAGTAATGGTCCGGTACAGTAGGACTTGAGGTGTACTGACATTCTTCAGCCTCAGAGAACTGCCGTTGAGGCTCTCCATTTCATCCACGTTGTGTTTATCCTCCCCGCCTCTTTCTTTTGAAAGCTTCCATCTGCTGAGATCTGACTAGGTACTTGTACAACCTTATCTTATTTGATCGTCAACGAGACTAAATTCGTGTCTGCCTCTTTGCGTTTGTCTTTGTTGGCTGCTGAGTTGCACCGATGTGAAAAAAAGCACTTTGGAAAATATTTCAATCTCAGGAAGGCGAAGACGCCGAGGCCAGAAATATTTTTGATTTTTTACTTTAGCCTGAGCCGGACGTTAGTGCAATGGTTGAGCAGCAGTGTGTCTTTCGCAATGCAATGAACTCAGAATTTCTAGTTCTGTCAAATGTGGTAGGAAAATTATCCGGATCACTGGTTTTTCCATCCAGTACTTCTATCTCTTGGCGTTATGGTAGCTTGTTAAGTTTGAGATTTCAAAATGTTGAAAGCTTCTCATGGAAGGCATCTGATAGAGTCGTCATTTGTTACACCTCCTTTTTAATAATTTTTGTCGGTTTCCATACTTTAGCCAAACTGCTGACTTGTCTCAACGTGCCGCTCAGCTACAAACTCTTCCTCTGTTTGCTCAGGCAGAAGCCGAAGCAAGGTTTCGCGCGCGACTGAAAAAATGAAATGTCCTGACAGGATTTACGGTCGTGCGACTAGGCCCATGTAATATTTGCGTAAGGTGACAAAGATGGTTTTATTGTTTGATGCTAACTGGGTGGAAAAATCGAACAAAATGGGTGGCACCTGCAGTTATATGTGGAAGGGTAGTGCTCTTTTGTGTTACAAACACCTAAGTTAGGTGTTCGAGTCAATCGAAGAGATTCCTGTTACAAACACGAGCTGCATTAACATCCCCGCCGGGGAGGGGATCGCAGCTTAGAGGAAAGCTTCATATCCTAAATTTCCAAATATCTGAATCCCGCGCTGTCTAGCTATTAGGGAGTATCCCCACTATCTTCACTATGAACTTACTAAACAGAAGCGAGAAGCCGTACAAGCCGCATTTCCCAGGATTTTGTATGATCCTCCGATGATCCCCGGCGGCCGACCATCTCTTCTTAAAAGTCATTTTTCTTAATTCAAGATCAGTGAAAACATTCCAAAGTTCTATAGCTTACTAACCCTACAGTGCTAAGCATGTCGTTGACAAGAATAAATGAGTTTTTGAAGTACCGAACTTTTGCATAAACCTCAACTTTCGACTTGTGGTTCATCGCAAATTTCATGACTACAATGCATCATTTGTTCTTATCAGCAACATGCTCAGCACAGTTAGGTTAGATGAACAGTACAACTTTCAAAGGTTTTCGTTAACTTCGAAGAAGGAGAAAAGACTGAAGAAAAGACGTTCGGCCGCTGGGGATCATCAGGGGATCATACAAAAGCCTGGAGAATGCTGCTTCTCGCTTCCGTTAAACATATTCATAGTGAGGAATGGTGGGAATACTTACTGATAGGCAGCGTGAATCCAGATACTAGCTTCAGAATATGAAGCTTTCTTTTAAGCTGCGATCCCCTTCCCGGCGGGGATGTAAGTGCATGCGGCCCCTAGTCGGTCGTACTGAGGGATACAAAGAGGAATGGGGATTGTAATTGAGTTGATACTGATTCCAGCGACGCATGACTCCATAATGTGACAGAAAAGCCAATTGTGCAAAACTCAAGCACACGGAGCATCTATACGAAGAGTAAACATAAGAAGCCCTACTAACCAAGGAAACGATACTTAGTGTCCGCGGCCTTTTAAAATAGAGTGTATACCATTACACTTGCCTGCGAACGCTTTCCGAATCTGGCTTTCGTTTCTGCTAATAGTTTCTCTGAAAGAAGCTATGAAGGATTTTTGGCCACTCGAGATATGATCGGAACACCAATACTGATGATAGTTGTGGTGTAGTGGCTAGTGCGATGGCCCCACAAGTTGAAGCAGGTGTAGGTTCAGATCCCTTTGTATTTCTCAGTCTTGCATTGCCTCAATTAAGTTTCTTCTTGGAAGTTAGGTTTCCTCGAGGTAAATGCAGCCCTTACTCTTCAAAAACTTAACGAGGAGGCATTTTTATATGAGTGTTTCCTACATTTATTCCAAAAAGTGCCTTGATGTTCCTTGCATCGCTTGGCCAAACTTGGCGCGAAAATCTTTCATAACTTCTTTCAGAGAGACGATTAGCAGAAACGGAAGTCATTTGAAATAAACTCCGAAGACAAGTGTAAAGGTCTATATTTAACACGTTTCGGACCGGTGCTGCACATGGTGCAGCACGATGCTTTGAAGGATCGTTTTGACGTTTACGGGAGGTCTTCTTTTAGCCCAAGAGTACCAAGTCAAAGGCCTAACCTCCTACTTTTCAAATGACTCTGTAGAAATGTGCCGCCGATACTTGTTTAGGAGATATGAGGACAAATCGAACAACAGTTGCAACGAAGTGCGGCAACGCGAACGACGCATGCGACGTCGCAACTTTCCTTTCCTTAGATTTGAAAGAGAAAAACCCTAGTTTCAATACTGATGTGTGTACAACATAGATACTTCTAAATACTATTAGAAACTGAGTTCTTGTTCCTATCTTTCTAGAAAGCACGGAAGTCACTCTTAAGCAGCAAAATTCAAACACTTCAATTTCATTCAGAACTTTGGGTATGGAGCTTATCCGATATGCTGATTACAGTTGTAGCCCACAGCCTACGGAATAAGATCCCTTTGTCGGCTAACGGCTGAAAGTACACTCTCTTTCGCCGCGCGCGATTTTGCGGTCCGAAACGTGTTAATCTCAAAAAAGCGCGGACACCAAGTATCGTTCCCTTGTAAGCGAAGTGAGTATCATTTGCGTGATTAGCATGTTAAATAACCCCTGTCCAGCAGCTTTGGCTAATTTTGAGGTTTTCAAATGTTAGGCTATCTAAACGAAATGACTCCTTTTTTGCCCACACTAGGAGTCCCATTCTAAGTGAACGCCAAACTATGGAATTAGTAGCCAGCCAAAATTCCGTTTGTCCCATTTGGTCTCTGATAAAATTTCCATTACAAGGAGATGGAGGTTTAGCGGTTTTAAGGGTGTCAAAAACGTAAATGTTTGGATGCTTTGAAGGTAAGTTAATGTCGGGGCTTGACGGAGTTTTTTGGAGTTTGACGCGACCCCAAAAAAACTTTTTGGGGTTGTGGCACAATCCTTAACTTACTTTCAGAGAATGCACCAAGGAATGTTGTATACATGATTTTATAGCCTAAACCTCGTAGTTTCCACAGCATTAACTTGCTTCTAACTCTTGTCCTTTATTCTGTGTAGTAGTTTGCAGAAAGCACAACTACTGGAAGCGAAAAATGAGACAAGTTTTGGGTTTTTTCACGAGTTTTGGCTGGTTTCTATAATAATTTCATAGTTCGGCGCATTTGAAGTGGGTTTCCTAGTGCGTGCAAAGAAAGAGCAGCGCTTGAGTACGTTTCACTTGCTGGCCGAATATTTGGAAACTTGAGTTCCTACAACACGGTTTAGGATCATTTGACATGCTAATTTTGAATACGTTACTCATTACGAGGGGAGGGGCAGCGGAAGGCGACGAAAAATACAAGCAGTGTAAATTTGCTCTTGCTAATTCTTACAAAATTTCACTTAGGGCATCGAGTCGTGTCGAGTATCCCATTCCCTACCCCCCCCCCCCCTCCCTATCTTGGCGCGCCGTATCACTTTAGCAGCGAACGGTTTTGAAAGGCACAAGATTTGGGGGTTGTCGCCTTCCACACCACTCCCCACCAATTTAGCAATTCAGTTTAGAGCTAAGAGGGTCTTTTTAAAAATACCGGACAATGTGCTTTAGCTTATCTAGTATCTGAAGCTACCATCTGCTAATTTGGACGGCATTTGGGTGAAAATTGATTGAGATATTCAGGAAAACGCCATCATTTGCATCTTACGGGTTTTTAACCTCCCAACCTTATGCTTTGCATCTACTTTAGAATAGTAAGGTCCAGCAAATGGGACGGTCATGCATAACTTGTTAAAGATTTGAATTGCCCTTAGAACATCACAAAATGGCAAAAAAATACGCTAATTGGTGTCCATATGGCAATAAATTTCGCGCATACACCCGGTATAGGTTTTTACTGGGGGGGAGGGGGAGGGGGGGGGAGGTACCTTGAAGAAGAATATAGAGGGAGTAAAGGTTGTATCTGGCGGTTGTGTGCCACACCAATTGCTTAAACCCTGATTAAGACAGACAGTGATTCTTTACCTGATAGTGAGTAAAACAACTATATATACAACTCGCGACATTATCAGAAGCCCGACAACTTAGCATTCCGACCTCATCGTTGTTGGCGCATGTACGCAGCATTGACAAACTCGTCAAACTTCCTAGCGACAAAATTCAGTGTCTTCATTTTTATATCTTTTTCATAGTGAACTTAAGGGTACATCTCTAGGAACACCGCTCACAGTTACGGCTCGATTCGTTGGACACAAGTCCTACGGCATCATTTTTGTTTTGATTCCTCCAAAAAACTCGAGTACAACCGTTAGGAAAATCAGTAGGAATATGATTTTTTTGGGAAGTCAAACATTTGTGAATATATGCGCACAACATGATTCATACGTAATGCGAAAGATTGATTGCGCCAAATTCGAAAGAGTCATGGGATAGGTAGCAACTCATAGTGGTCATATAAAGATTGCTGTCAAGATGCCCGAGGAACGGAGTCAAGAAAACACATAATCTATTGGGTTGTTTCAAAAGTTCTACCCGTTTTCGATACCTTTCTTTGAAGTGCCGATTTTGGTGGAAGAAACCATTTTTTATAAACAATGCTTATATCATTCGAAAGCTCTTCTTTTAGTTTTTCAAACATATTTTCGTTTTCGCTGTGTGGTTGCGTACTTCGAAACAAATGTGAAAATTTTCGTCTTTGCTCTATCGCCGTGAAACCTACAGCCAAAAAAAATTCTTTTAAAACATAAATAATGTTTGCCGGAGACTTGTGCTACAAAATGCTTATCGAGATATGATTTCAGAAAAATTTTAGACCTACAAATTTTTAGCTCAAACACCTGTCTTTATGGTCCGTTCAAGTCGCATAAAAATCATAAACATATTGCAATCGCGAAACTCTTATTCTATATAGTAAGATTAGAGCTAGAACAACTGCTACTAGAAGAACGAAAATACTTGGTTTGTCAACGGCGAACAAAATCAAAAATGTCAAAATCGCATTTTTTGCCGCCTCAGAAAGAGCAAAATAAGTGGGTCCTTTCGGATTTTTCAGCACAAAATTTTTATGAGAGAGTTTGATGAAATCCAAGGTTAGTGGTACTGCTCAGTCGACTATGGGCTACACTGTAAGCAGTCTTGTGCAACTCAGCTATATTCCATTTCAAGTTATGCTTTTGCGTGAAGGTTTCTGCAAGAAGATGCTCCTCGATTTTCGCCTATAAAATCTTCACGCACTGTTACTGCAGTAATCTTAAAGAATGCGCAGAATAGCCAAAGATTTGCAGATTGTATTACAGTTTACAGCACTTGCAAAGATTACTTCTGAGAAGAGTTACGGTAAATCAAAGCCAAAGTTCGAAAACGGGTAGAAGTTTTGAAACAACCCAACATTTCAAAATTCGAAGGAGTGTCTACGCTGAAATGGGGATTTTCTCAATAGATTAGTTTGACAGTGACGCTGCACTCTCTTGCCCCTATCCAGAGGTGCTGGATTAACTGCTGGGTCCGCTTATTTGGCACTGTACATACAGTGCCAAATAAGCGGACCCAGCAGTTAATCTTCAGCTTTACAATCGGAGGGCTTTTTGTGGTTACCGATCACGAAAGTTGAGCAAAATATGAATGAAAAAGTTTTCTATACATTCTGAACATAGTTCCAGTCGAACATCAAACAAACAGCTCCGATAATCTCCTATAACAGGAATTCATTGATATCTCTTACTGAGTTTAGAGCTGAGCAAAATTCACTCAGTAATACTCTTAACCGAGCGGTTTATAGGAATAGGTCGCCTGTGATTTTTTAGATTGACCAGAAATTTTTCTTAGATATTCTCTTGACACAAGCTGGGTGAGAAATAAAACGTCAACAGCTTATCGAAGCAATCAGAGCGGAAACTGAAGAGATGGCCGCCCTGCATGTATTTGCGGATAGTGTGAATGTCTGTTGATATAGCACTCCCACAAAAACTTGAACTTTTCTGCAAGCGAAAAGGTGAAAGGATATTTGCAAAATATTTTTTCTTTTCTGGAATGTTTGCATGTCCTTGAATATAGACATTTCTGGAGTTTGTCGTGTTCGCTACAGTAAGCTACCAACAAACATCTGGTAAACAATCTACAAGTAATCTATGATTTTATTATTGGTCAAAATCATTTCTTTTCTGAGCACAATTTGACAGCTAAAGCTATTAGAACGTCTTTACAAGCATGGAGTTCTTTCTTCGGCACAAATTCTCGTGCTGAATGTGCGACTTTGATCGTTCCAGCTCCAAACAAGTATTTTCCTAGAACGAGCAGTATGTACTGATAAATCATTACATACTATATTTACCTTTGAGACAAGAGAGTCCTTCATAGTAGGATAAATCAGTATTGAACGCTACTTGATCAGTAGCATAATCCAAAGGTGCGCCATCGAGCGCTACAGGATCATTTGAAGACAAGTGTTCGATTTCAGCACGGCCTTAACAAAAAAGCATTTTGTAAAAGTGAATTTCATTATGCAAGACAGTATGGGTAGTTACCTGCTACAATTTTTTCTAATCTCTTTTGATCTTCTGCTACAGAGGTAGTGACTCTCACAAAAATCTTTGCTTGCGCAAATTCTGCAAAAGCATTTTGTGCATGTCCTCCTTCGATAATTCCTATGTTTATAGTCGTGGCACCTGCAATATTTTCCTTTCGATACGTTATTTTTGTAAAATAAATACGAAAAAGTGCCTAAATTCATCTTGTACTCCTTTGAAATTTCTTTTGAACTAGTGTATGCATTCCAAATGAGTTGGGAAAGTTGATAACAAGAACTTATCGATCTCCACACTTATGTAACCTCGAGTCATTCGTAAATTAATATGCGTACTGCACACCATGTTCGCTACTTGACGAACCTATAGGGTTAGAACCTGCTCACTTCCACTGATTTCATCTTGCTTCATTGTCTCCTTTGGTTCGATTGGATATGTATTAGTTAGTAGTATGCCTTTTACACTATGTTACGTTAGAAGAAGTTTTATCCAGAATTTACCGATAAATGTGTCGTCCGTTGAAACGCTTTGTGTGCAGCTCACATAGTAAGCTATGATGGCTCGACAATACGCGAAATGAGAGTTAGAGTTACGGTATGCTACAGTAAACTCATCGGGGTATGCTTAAATTTTGCTAAATATAGTGTAGCAATGCTAATTCCGCCTACAATTTTATGAATTTTATGAAGCCTAACAAATTTGTGATCCTTACCTGATTTATCATCACTAGGCCATTCATAGTTGAGAATATCATTGAGAACAGGAATTAACTTATGTATAGCACTTTCGCCTTCTGAGGGATATCCTGAATGACCTGCCTTCCCTTTACACTTTATGGCGACCTAAACTTTTGGTTATTAGTTGGCCTTTTCAAAGCAATTAGCTTACCTTTAGCGCACCCTTCTGAATGGTTGCGAACTTCAGCTCCGTTGGTTCGCCTACAACTAGATATTCAGGTTTCAAAGATTTGAAGTCGTTGGCTTTCTGTAATATGGTTTTTTGATACATTGCTTGTAAGTGATACAAAGTTTGGAAAATCTGCCCTTGTTCCATGATTCTCAAGATGTGCGAATCCTCAGTATGTCTTTGGCTCCGAAAGTTAAGAAACGAAGTGTGCACAAAAGCCGGATGATCAGTTTAAACATTGCATCTATTTTCAGAAAAATTTCTCAAAATCGGAGCTTCACTATTGCTCAAGCGAAAGAATGTTCTTAACAACTGGTTGGCAATTCTTGAACTGAAAAACTATTTCGTTGATGTTATGATGAAAAAGTGTAAAATATTTTGTCAATAGTTTACTGATCGTAACAATTTTTACCACGCTTGCAAAGATCAGTTTTCAATCGAACACAGTTACGGCAGTCTAACTGTAAGATTAGAAATGGAGAATTAGCAATAGACAACCAAATGCTATTATAGAACACTTGATAATCATTATGTGTTTATACCCGTGTCTACCTACTACAATATCAAAATTAGAACTCCAATCCTAGCATTCGCAAATTCTTCTCTCAAATTCGCATCGGGATTACCGTAAAGTAGTGAAATTTGCAGATTTGCAACTTTATGAGATTTCTTTACCCATTAAGTGAGCCGAAATACTCGCTATGAATGTGTAAAAAATTTTGTTTTCTTATCTGGGGGAACCACTACCTGCATTCCAACATGGTCAACTTCTTCACCAACGACAAATAGAAGCCCGACTTGATCGGCTACATCTGGATGGGATTCCACCAAGGACTGAGCAGCCGATACCATACAAGCCAACTGCGCTGGAAGTGATTTCGCATAAGAACTTTAGGAATTTCGAATGTCTATAATTTGCACCTTTTGCATCACAAGAACCTCGTCCGTAAATATTCTCTTCATCTTCTGTTGGAGGTATATATGGAGGTACAGTATCCAAGTGCGTGTTGAATATCAATCGCGGAGCTAAAAATTCATGCAATAGAAACTTGAGGAAGGATAGCTTCTCGTTGGAAATCAAATCAGATTATACGGTAAACAGTTGCTAAGTGCCCGATGGGAGGAAAAGGGAGGAAGGGAGTAAGGAAGCTAAATAAGCATCGCAAATATCCCTTTATTTTCGGGCCTTTTTTGAATAGGTCCCTTCATGTCTACTTCCCTTTTTTATTCTCCTCTCTTTGGAGCTTATCTTGTCTAGCAGACCTATTTTTTGCAAAAGTCAAAATGACAAAATGACTGAGATTTTCATCATGAATTTGAAATATTTTGTCGGGAAGAGGACTTGCATAGGTCAATACGATTCAAATATCAACTTAGACACTCACAAACTTCATCTAAGGGTTTTCTTGTCGCTAGGAGGTTGAACCTTGATGAATCATTGTCAAGCGGTTGCTTTGCTACGGTCCATCCTTTATTTTCGAGGCCTTCTTTGAGTAAGTCGCCGAATTTTCCGGAAAATTGTAAATTTGAGGCAAAGGTCTAGCTGATCTAAATGTAAGGGTAAATATCCGTTATATTAGATGGCTTTGAGCTCAAAAAAAAAGACAGCTTTCTATACATTTGCACATAATAATGATACAAAATGATGGATTTCAATGATAATACTTCAACAGTATGCTTTTCGATCATGTATTATACAACATAATTCCAGAGATAATTTATATCACATGTTGAACCAAATTGATTTGACTAAGTCAGGGAAGTAATAAATTCACGGCAGAAGGATCTTCACAAGTTTGGTTGTAATTCAAAGAAATCTGCACCAAATTTCACGAGCATTCATAAATTTATCATCCTCAATGCTCGTAACATCCAGCAACTTAAGAGAAACTAAGAAAATCTCACCTTCCTTTCCACTTGTAGAATCAATCTTCATATATTCTATCAACAGTTTCTCGACATCTCCTACGTTCTTGCTTGCCATTCCGAATGACCTGAAGGGGTGCACCATTATCACAAAGAGAATGCTCCAGTACATCTGCGTCATTCTACCATTCTGGGAAATGTGAAATTCTGCAGCCATCTACGAATTAATTGTGCATATTCCAATAAAAGGGTCGAAGCAATCAGTAAGCGCGAGTGAGATAAAATATTACAAGTACAAAAAATTAAAATGAAGAACGCTCTATCCTAAAATTTCAGAACTTTACAGAATCATTGGTTTTTAAATGCTTTAAAACGTTTTCATACGTGATAATTTCTATACTCTTACGTGTTACAGTTTGAAATATTTAATGAGGCTTTATTCAAGATCAAAAAAGAAAAATTTCGAATAATACAGAACCTAATTTTCAAAAATCAGTACGCAATCAGATTCAAAACTGAAATTGAATCTTATTGCTATATCACACGTTTGAGGTTTGTCATTTGCATTACTGCATAAGCCTTATGGACTTCAATTTGAAACTGCGAGAAAATTTATACTTTTTTTGAAGAAAGTTTACGAACGAAATCTTTAAAATGGATAAGAATTTTAGACTTCATAAATGATGATGCAGGACTTATGCGAGAGCTTATTAGGAGAGGAGCTAGCAAGAATAGTTTTCCACCGCATACCTGATCAAGCGGCTGCACATGCAAACTAGCACATATAAATTGCCAAAAAGCGATGAAAAAGATTGTCATGATACGGTCATCTCTGTCTTGATCAAAAATTTTTCAGCGATAAGGTTTTTCGGCAATGATTGATGTACACTCCGTTGGCGTTCAAAGTTTAGGGAGAGTAGTAGTTTTTCAACTCTCTCAGAAGGTATTTGATGCCATTACACGTACTGATCTTGCACTTTGAGTGGAAATAAAAAGAAAACTCCAAGAAGATTGATGCAAGAAAAACGACTAGAACGCAAGTACTTGATAGGAACGTTTGTATGTAAGTGGTAAGGGTCAAAGTTGTGTGGCAGGCACAATAGGTCGTAAAATGAAGGTAAACGAAGATGGAGGAGGGTAAAGGTCGAACGGGAGGGTTAGACAACTAGAATGGTACTAGTATAAGGAAATTTGCAGAAAGAATTAGTACAGTGTAGAAGTAAACGTGACAGATAAAATGTAAAATCAAGATCTCAAATGAACGCGTTTAGAAATATGCAAAAGAATAAGACCTAGATAATGCAAGTTGTGAAAATAAGTGGATATGATCGGTCAATACCGCATAGTTGTTATCGTTGTTGATACTGCATTGTTGATAACATCTCTGGTATATAAAAATTCAACATCGTTCGCTCTCTATTCGCAGCTACACGTGTTCTCAAAAGATTCAAGTAGAATAGCAAGTTCACTCTCAGCAAGCAATGTTATTTTTCTTTCCATTTTCGTCTTTCGCATAAATTATGCAAGGCATAGAAAATGATAAAAGATTATGATCAGGGCTCGGCACGAGGTGACTAGATGGAAATGCAAAAAACGAAGTCCCCCTTGACTTTTGGGTATTTTTACGAAGTCCCCTTTGACCCCCCACCATATTCCCTAAAAATCCTCCAAAAAACGAAACGTCGACTAAAAAAACGCCGCCAATTTTGCGTGTCTTCGACCACAAAAACGAAACCCCCTTTGCTTTTTGTCCCAAAAACGATATCCAGCTTGCTTGTAAGCCACCTGTGCCGAGCCCTGATTATGATAGTTAAGATGTCGAATTTGAGGTTTTTTGGGAGATGATGTAAATAAACTGCATAAACTATCTGGTACAAAATAAGTGCATGTCCTCATGCTACTACCGCGGCAGAGTAACCAAATGTAAGAAACTTTTTGATAGGGCGAAACTAGCTCTGAAACATGTTAAAATATTTGAAAGTGATTCACCCTAAGCTTGAGGCCAAAAACCCAGAAAATTCGGATACACAAAAACCGGGTCTCCGTCTAAAAGAATATTACACACTTTATTTGCTCACTTATATATTTACCACTTCTGACATGCACAGGTACAGTTGCTGAAATTCTAACTTCGCGGTGATGAGGAACAAAAATGGGCAAAAAATACAAAAATATCGCCTTTTTCGTTTTTTTTTCACGCTAGATTTCATCTCGAAAACTGGAGCTGTAAAAGGCAGAAAATTTACATTTGTGCTTGCTAAATTATTATAGTTCCTTGGGAACAGCCCATCAAGCTTGGCAAAAGCATGCCAATTTCATCTTCCCGATTTCTAGCCATGGAAAAAAGTGCGACAAGTCAAAAATCGAATGTCCGATATTGTTTCTGATACAAGAAGTGCATTTCTTGAGTGTGTTGTATTAGGTTGTCCGGAAATTAATGTCCGTTTTGAATTTTAACCGCAATATGTCATACACTTCTCATTTCTGGATAGGAGGTATCATTCGATAGAGCAAAGCAAGCTCTACAAGATGGCGATCATGTATTGGAAAAGCTCTCATTGACCTCAGTTTCGAGCCAAATTAAAAAGATCCAGCTGTTTGAGAAATTCAGAAAAGTCGCAACTCCGTTCTTAAAAATCCTACAAAAATTCTAACTTGCTCACGTAAGTACTATCCACAAAAGACATCTATATACGCCGTTGCCAAATTTTTCCTTTGTGGTTCTCGAGAAATATCGAATACGGCTTTTCCTAATCAAGTGGTCCAAGCCAAACTTCAAATTTCTCGAGAACTAAAGCTTGTAGAGAGCTGAAAATTTACGTTTGTACTTCTACAGGCTTGTAGTATAAAACTATTTATGTGGGGACGGCACAGCATCACTTTAGCAAATGCACGAAAATTTCGGTTATCTTGATTTCTAACAAAGAAAAAAATTCGGCAACGGCGTATGTAGATGTCTTTTGTGGATAGTGTTTACGTGAGCAAGTTAGAATTTTGTAAGAATTTTAAGAACGGAGTTACGACTATGTTTCAAACAGCTGAACCTTTTTAGTTTTTGGCTCGAAACTCGAAACAAGATCGCCATCTTGTAGAGCTTGCTTTGCTCTAGCAAATGGTACCTCGCAACCTATTCAGAATGAGAAGTGTAGGCTTCTGCGGTTGAATTTCAAAAGGACATTAATTTCCGGACAACCTAATAGTTTACGTAGAATTCCTTTGGAATGAAATTCGATCGTGGCCATGGAATCTTTTGGATTTATGGGTTTTTGAATGAATCCATCTCTTTGCAAATGTTTCAATGCCATATTGTAAAGTTTGATCTGCTCTATCGAATGGTAAGTTTTTGAAGTTTATTTGCATCTGATTTGCCGCAGCAACATGAGAACATGAATTTGCATCAACCGAATTAAATAGATGGGAGCTGCTCCAAGCATTATTAAGGTGTTTTGTAGTACTTATAAGGATTGAAGTGTGGGCACTACAATACCACCCGTAATTTGTGAAAAAAAATGGCGGCGGCACTTAACTTACGCGGCGCCGCCGAAGTTAGGTGACTTTTGCCGCGTCGCGCGGCAAAAGTCAGCGGAAAAGCGGCCAAAGTCACCTAACTTTGTCGCGCAACGCCTAACTTTTTATAAAAAAAGACCTTATCTTGATTCAAAATTTATGAATTCTATATATAAGAGTACCATTCAACTCAGCTCGGCGAGGCGCATCTTCCAATATACGGATGTGCCTAGTTGTGGGATATAAGTTTTTTTCCTGGAATTTTAGTGTAAATGGATTCAGTGTGCTGATTCCAGAGGCTAAAATGCAGGAAGACAAAGGGAAATGGTTGGAAATCGCATGAGAAGCACATATCGCGGAATGCCGCGCGTGCTGTGCAATGTACAATACCACTCACAGAACGGGAATTGCGCGAAATTCCAGAAATTTCGCGATTCCGGATTATCGCAAATTATGCAGCGCCATAACTTCCTTCGGAATGAATATATTCTAAATTCGAAAGCAGCACTGTGTTCATCTCGTCAAGGCGAATCTTTCTACATACGTCATGTCATCTATATCTTGTTTTCAGTTTTCTCAAATTGTTCTGAGGAGGTCCCTTTGCAAGTATGTAACGCAGCGCCTATCCAACTTGAAAGCTTCCAGTAAGCACCATTCGATAGTGCTCTTCTTGTGCATTATAGTGCGCTAGTAAGCTGCCGCAGACTTCTTTTCAAAAGAGAAAAAAGCGTTGGTAAATTCTGGAAAAATCACTCGTTTCCAGATTCTACTCGCCGTAACTTTCTTTGGAGTGGATATTTTCTGAATCCGAAAAATGCATTGTGCTCAGCTCATCAAGGCAAATCTTTCGGTATGCAGAATGTCTTTGATATCTCGATTTCAGTATTCTCAAAACTTTCTGCGGACGTCTCTTCGCAAAGGTGTGAAGCAGCGCGTATTGCCCCCAGTACATTCAGAAAGAAATTTTCGATAGTACTTCTTTTGTAGATTATGGAGCGCTAGAAAGTAGCCGCACAATCCTTTTCAAAGGAGTTAGAAGGACTGGTGAATTCTGGAAAAATCATGTCCTTCTAAATTTTTCTCAACGTAACTCTAAAATATGAAGCTCTCTTGCTAAGCAGATGTGATTTTCGTAACCA